GAGTAATTTAGTTCTAGTATTTTTAATTGATGAAGAACTTTTGACTTGTGTCGTGTAGTGGTTTTTAATTGTGATGTTTTTTCTGTCTTGTTGCTCTGCTATTGTTTTCTTGGGAGGATATTGTTATATTTTTAGTGGTTTGGTTTTGTTTTTAGTTATTATGATAGATACTATTGAGAAACATGGTAAGAAGAGAGAGGAGGTTGTCTTTTGGCTTTTGTATTAGGTGGATATGGTCATGCCGCTGGTAATGTTGTAATGTCTGCATGAATGAATTGGTCACCATTGGACTGTGGCTTGATGTTTGGATCTGTTCTAGTGAATTTAAGCAAATAGAATTTTAGATTGGGTTGACTGGAGGAGGAATTTACCGGGCGCTCTTGTCACTTCTCTATGATTGCTTTAAGTAGCTTTTGTTGCAGCTTTTGTAGCATGACAAATGATGTTGTGGAAGTTTTTTATTGTTGTCACTGCTCTGTTAAGAGCTGCTATAAAAGTTTTCGAGTGTTCTATTATATGAGTGTGTCTATAGGTGAAAGGCTGTTGTTTTCCTTTTCCGTAGTCAATATGATGCAATTTGTTGTGCAGCTAGTTTCAGCCTTTGTTTGTTACCTTGTCCTTGCGTGTGTGAGTATAGTTTTGTAAGTCTTGTTTTTCTCTTTTGTGACTTTAGCCTTTTGTTGGGTTGTGTTTTTGTGTCTTTTAGCATTTCACTTCTTGTGAAGCATTTGGTTTTGTTTTGTTTTTTCTTGACTTTTGCCTTCACATATGATCTGATTTCTCTAAATATATGTATCTAGCATAACAAATTGTTTTACATATTTTGATGTAAACTTGCTGAAAGTGTTTTTTGAAGTTACTTATAGCTTTAATTTGTTTAATGCAGGTTGATTTCCATGCAATTGATTGTCTAATGCAAGTTCTAGGTTGGAAGAACTTTGTCAAAACATTGAACAACGACGTATGAAATATATGGTAATTATTTTTAGTAATGTGTGAGCATTATTGTGCCTTCTTTTCTAATTTTACTAGGATTCAAAGCAAATACACATTTCAATTAGAATGCACGTTTTGCGTTGGATAAGTGGTCGGAAAAAGTTAATGTTTGCAACGAATGCTTTGGTCGCTAAAAGGCTTCTCTCGCGAGGACTCTTTCAATGGTCGTTGCATGTCTCAATTGCGACCATTCCAAATGATCGCCAATGAGAGGTATTAGCGACCACAAATAATTGGTCGTATAAGTTAAACGATTTGGCGACCATTTTTATGGTCGCATTAACAAAGTTTGGGCGACCAGAATGGCCCTGTCGCCTTATATGTGGCAATTCGGTGACCAGATATATAATCGTCGAAACGTTTTTAAGCGACCATTCTGATATGGTCGTGGAAATTTGACCTTTCAACAACCAGAATATTTGGTCATCGAAAATTTATTTTCCACCATTTTGTAAAAATGGTTGCAATTACCATACCCGACAGCGTATATACGACCACCCTGCCGACCATAAAAAAAATGGTTGCAAATGCCTTTGGTGACCATTTTCTATGGTCGTGAAATATCATTTCTGTTGTAGTGTAATCTATGATGCATATTTATATTTAAAATTAAATAAGGCATTTTCTCACATAATCTATGTGTTAAACTTTATATAGTGTGAAATATATAATTTAATAATCCTATGAATAATCAAAATCAAACTCATATAGATCGCTTTACTCATAAGTCAGTAATTGAGTTGGCTCTCTACCCATAATGTTGAGAGTTAAGACATCTCATGAGCTCTAAACAAGCTAGCTCACGAGTTGAGCTCAATCACCCACCGAGTCGAGCTAGCTCGCGAGCTCATTGAGTTACAGAAGGCTTAGCTCAAGCTCGGCTCATTAGTAAACGAGTTGAGTATCGAACGAGCTTTTCTTGAATCGAACACCGAGCCGCTAGCGAGTTACAAAAAGCTTAGCTCAAGCTTGGCTCGGCGGCGGATCTAGGGCGGGGGACCCCGGGCCACGACCTAGACCTCCCCGGATCGGGAGTTAGTATAGCCCTTGTAAATTTCCGAACTTAGGTATTCGTTTATGTTCTCCTTGGGTTACGGCCTAGTCCTCTCTTCCTCTTTTCAAATGTGGCACAATGCTCTACCCTATTCTGGATCCGCTGCTGGCTTGACTCGTTAGTAAACTAGTCGAGTATCGAATGAGTTTTTCACAAATCGAGCGCCGAACTGCTCGCGAGCAGCTTAGTTCATTTGCAGTCCTACCTTAGGTAACCAGTTCGTGGAGCGAGAGCGGGAGCGAGAGCGGGAGCGAGAGCGATATTTTCGGTGATTTGAAGCGCGACAAGAGCGTTACTATTATATTATTTTTACTTAAATATTATATTATTTGAATTTTTTTTATCAATACCTACCACCAAATGCCATTCTACTAATTTTAAACTAGTAGTTGATCAACTTTCCACTTATAATTCGTATAGAAGAAACTCTTTCTTGTGCTCAAGGAAATGTCTTTGATTTGGAGTTGATTTATCCCATAAAAAATATTATTCTCCCAATTCCCAACTATGAGTAATTGTACCAAACTTTAAAGCATTGGTGTTTCGAGTTACAATTTAAAGTTATATTATAAAGTTAAAAGTACAAATTCAAATTGTATGATAAGAGAATTTGTACATTTATTTATGGTACTCTTGTACAGTAACATGAATGTGCAAATTCTGTTTGTATTATAAAAGAATTTATACGAAATAGTATAAGTACAATCTAAAATTGTATCAATATTAAAAGTACAACTTTAATTTGTACCATAAAAGTGAAAAATTAAGACACCAATACTTTAAAGCCGTGTAAAATTCGTCCAACCTATACCTAAAATATATTATAATTAGAAGTAGAAAGTAAAAACATTATTTTTATGAAAAAACCTAGTTGTATTACGAGGGAACATAAGGCTTACGGCCCATAAAGCCAAGCTTCACGAATTGTGTACTTTACGTCTTTACCTAACATACATTCTAGGGCGGAGCCCAATGAACCATAAATTATGCCACACAATTTTGACGCCTTGGAGAGCAAAGCTCCACTTAACTGCTTGACCCGAGAGACATTTGTCCTCAAATCTCAGATGAAGCTTTGTACGATACTTACCTCTGCAAAGTAAGAGGATTTTTTTTTTTTTTTTTTTTTGATAGAGTAAAGTAAGAGGATCTTAGATGCATGCAATCCTACTCTCGATTCGCAAGCTTGAGACACGCCGCCATAACATTTGCCTGGCTTCAACAGGCCGGAGTTTCCCCTTTCCCTTCTTCGAGAAAGCTTGACAGAACTCAGAAGGAACCTCGATCATCTCAAATAACATATCCTAGTCCAATCCCTTCCGGTTGGATGAGACTACATCGAAATTAAGCAACTAGAAACCCACCAGCAGCGGGCTGGCGGCAACCAATGGTTTGATTGGTGAGTCTGCCCCTGTGTTTTCTCGTTCAGATGCAGGGGACTACTAATTCTTGTTTTTGTACACTTTGCGCTCCAGAAAAATATAATTTGCGAATTATACCCGAAAATCCGGAATTCGCGTTTTGGCGGTTGAAAGCGGGAGCACCACAGTCTGAATTGGGAAAAACCCAAGTCCTACCCTCATTGCCAAACATAGTGAACGTCCAAACCTGCAGCAGGCGGTTTATTGATGCAGTGCCGGCACTTTACATTTCCCCTTACGTTTGCTAGTACAAGATATTTTGCAACCCTATTCGGTTGGGCTCAAATTGAAAATAAAAGAGGGAAGGAAAAGCCTGTGTATATGTAAAGGGCCTCTCCATGGAGCCCATCAATAATAGCGAAGAAGGAAACCCAGACCCAAGCCTGCTTTCCCTTTTTGAGTGCGTTGCGTACATCATTTAAATTACCCCAAATGTTTACACTGAGGACCAAGTTGCAAATCATGTCCACCAGCATGGGCGGACCCACGGGGTTTTAGGGGTGTCCGATTTTGGGAATACGATTATCCAACCTCCGGTGGTAATTTACGTATGAACAAAAAAAATATAATTGATAGTGAGGGACACCCCTGAAATTTGAAAACATGATTATCCTACTGTCATTTTGTGTATAGGAATATAAGTGGTAGATTGGGTAATTCAAATCTAGAACACTATTCTTATTAATAAACTTAAATTTCGTTGACCTACAACTCATTTGTTGTTCGATTTTGAAAAATGTAATAGTAAAATGTCATTTCCTATCTCTAATTATTTAAAAACCTAACTATTAAACTAATTTCAAGCTACCATTAATGCGGCAAGTGTTGAAAGAGTCTTTCAGCTTTGGGTGAGAACAAGTTTACAAATCGAATATGCGATAAGTTCGTGAATGATTGTCTAATAGGGTATATAGAGACAATTTTTTTTAACTCTATAGACACCAAGTGTATTCTACAATTATTTCCGAATATGAAAAAAAATCATGGACTTTTTTAACCTGTACGAGTAAGGTATTTTCAAATTTACTATTTTATTTTTATTAATTATTAATTATTTTTATTTAATTTATTTTTAAAAGAGGACACCCCTATGAAAAATTTATGGGTCCGCCACTGTCCACCAGCCACAACTTTCGTAATCCCATCCCATACTCCTTTCTTTCGTTGTCCTCTGCCCTCTTGTGTTTGATATTTGAGACTAATCGTCAGTTCAAGAATAGTAGGAGAAACCGGTGGATGGTAAAATAAACACATGTTACAATATTAGGTACGTAGGTGATGCAGCAGAAAACTGAAAAAGTTATGTGGATATGGCTGATCTATAATCTTCAAACAAAGCTGCAAAACAATGCGTACCATTGGACGTTGCATGCGGAATGGTTTTTTCAACTATTCTGCCGTTCCTATCCTAGCATGCTAGCTGCCGCCGTTGTAGAGCGGCGAAACTTCAACCCAAAAGAGTGTCATTGCGTGAAGCAAGCTCTCGATCCCCCCCATTATAAATAGGCTTCCATGCATTAACCAACAGCACATACAAAACAAAGACAATTTCGCACAACACTCAAACATGTCATCGATTTCGGATTGCAGAGGTACGCCAGTCTGCTCCTTTTATATATTTGTTGATGCATGTGAGTTGTGACAGAAATAGAGCCAATAGTAGTAGTGATAACTTTGTGGTTGTTGATCGAGTTGCGTTGCAGGCAAGACAACATGGCCGGAGTTGCTGGGAGCTGCAGGGAGGGAGGCGGCGGACACAATTGAGAGGGAAAACCCAAATGTGAATGCGGTGATAGTGCTGGATTCGCCGGAGACTGTTGTGACGGGTGATTTCCGCTGCGATAGGGTTCGTGTTTGGGTTGACACCAACGGAATCGTCACCCGAGTTCCCATTATTACTTAAGCATCGATAGCATACGTTAAATAAATAAGAAAGAGATGATAATCTCTTAACATGTATTCTTATAAGTAAATAATGTGATTTGTCGATGTTTCGTACTAATATAAAAGAGAGACTGTAATCTCTTTACTTGGCTTATTAGTTATTACTAAGCATGAGATTAAATAAGAAATGAACTTGTATTAAATTTGCAACTCTAAAATTTTATCCATCCAAATTTGTTTCTGTTAATTTGCTTCATTTTTTCCTAAAAAAATACTAATAATAATATAATGGTTAAAGATGGAGACTTTATAACTATAGTAGAGGGGCCGGAAATGAATCGAGTCGAATCGATTTTGATATAGTTCAGGTCCAGCTCATTAATAAACGAGTTGAGCTCGAACTCGACTTGTTTACTGAAACCTTGACTCATGTTTGATTTGGGCTCTAGCTTAGCTAACGAGATCTACTCGATCTTAACTCATCAATCAGTTAACGAGTTTATTGGCTCTAGTTGAACTCATCAATAAACTCACAAGATCAGCTCGAGTTTAGCTTACTTATCAATAGTTGAACCACATAACTAAACTCTAACATTAGTTTTAAATGGGCAAATACCACTAGAAAACCCCGAACTACGAGAAAAATGTCACTTGTGTCAGCGCTGATGTGGCATATTTAATTTAATAGTATTTTAAAACAAAAAAATAAAAAAGAAATGGACTTTCGACTACTTCCGACATCACCCATCTCTCACATTCTCTCTCCATCCCTACTCGCCTCCGCCCCTCGCCGCTTTTCTCCTCTGCCCCGCCGTCGCACTAGCAAAGCCCGTCGTCGTTACAGAAGAGGCGGTGGCCGTTGCTGCAACTGCACCACTCCTATTCAAAGTTGTTCCTTTCCGCTTCTCCTCCAAGAAACAATCGATTCCCCTTCTCCCTCTTTACCATCTCTTCCCGCTCCCACACTCCAATCTCCCTATCTGTATCCCCACCCCAGCCCTATTAAAAATAAAAAATAGGAAATCGCTTCACTTTCGCTTTCCCCTCTCCTTCTCCGATCAATCGTTCTTGGAGATTCAGTGGCCGCCCTTCATCACTTTGCCCAAGCGGGAAAAATATCACCTTCGCACAACTGTCAGATCCTTAGTTGATTCAATCCCCCGCTCCCTCGACCTCGGAATCACATAAGATTCCCAGTTCTTGCATAAACCCTCACAATTCACCGCCGCGGATCAACGCCGCTTTCTCAAGAAATTGTGAGGATACAAATGACAGAAAAGTATATTAAAACGGGATAGGAATGAAATATTTAAAAGTATGGGCACAAATGACATTTTGTCCATAGTTCAGGTGTTGTAGTGGTATTTTCTCTTTTTAAATTAAAAGTCTGTTAATATTTATATGTAATATATGATACTGCGATCAATAGAGTTAAAACCGCTATTCTATCTAGAAACAGAAAAAGGGTAAAATCGTAAAGCGTAAATTGTTTTACGAATATTGTAAAATAGCTAAACATCTGCTAAGTACGACATATACTATGTAAAGTCTGAGTGTACAGAATTTAGATAAATTAATAAATATCTACAATTCATGTCTAAAGTAGAGCAACTTATAGCATCTTAATAATAAGTTCATAAACATAGATCTTAACAATAAGCCACCTTCCCCTCTATGCTAATGAATTTGGGAAGGGCCTAGCTGGTGAATCAGGTTACTTTATTGAAGCTGAGAATGCATCCAAGTACCTATTATATATCTTTTAATCTCAAATGTATCATTGTGTTGGTGATTTACCTTTAAAATATACTTTTATAATCAATTTCATGAAAAGAATATACATTTAGTGAACTAGAGGCGTAAAACGTTTTGGTGAACTAGAAGTGTAAAAACGTCAGCATATAACCTTTAAAGGCGCAATTTAGTCCGATTTTTTACATTAAAGATTTTAGGGTAAATACAATATATTAGCCAAAAATATTAAGCAGCGGGAAATAATAGCCACAACTATCGAAATATATATTATTAGTCATAACTATTGTTGCAGGTCAATAAATGGCTAACAGTCTGTTACAGTTGCTAACTTTCTAATGGAGAAGGCCACGTCAGCAACCATATCACCTTTCACGTCAGGTTAATTTTTATTTATAATTTAAAATTTAAAAAAATCAAAACAAAACAAAAACAAAATAGAGGGTAAACAACTCTTCTTCTTTCCCTGCTTTCCATTTTTCTCTTCCCTTCCCTTGAATTGAAATCTCATCTTGCTTTCCCCTCATTCACTTCTTCCTTTGCAAAGCCACGAAAGAAAAAAAAATCTTTCGCCAACCGCAAGCCGACCCCATAAATTCCTTTGTCGCATTGGTAGGAGCGACGAGAAGAAGTAGGAATCTTGAAGCTTCTATGAGATGGTGGCTTGACGACAGATTTTGAGGTGAGAGGAATCGGAGGTTGCCATTGGCTGGGATGCATTGAGGAGAAAGAGGCTTCAACGGTGGAGTTGTGGGAGTAAGGAGGGCGAATCTATGGATAGAGATGCGGCGGCGAGGAGGAGGGTCCCTAATGATTTGACGATGAATCGGGATCAGGTGCTCGTCCAGCTCCTCGGATGGTGCATTCAAAAGACGAGCTCCTCGTAGTCTACTAGCCAATGCCACACAACACCTTCGACAAAGCCCTATACCATTCCCACGACGGCGGATTGCTTTCGTGAGGAAGCCTAAAAGCCAGCTGACGGTGAATTGGGTTGGGGCTTGTATTGAGAAGGGGAATTGTTGGAAGGAGTTTAATTCTTCTTTCAATCACTTGGTTCTTATGTCCACAGAAGGAGAGGTTACGAGTTTGGAATTTTTGATAGCGGAGGCTGGAGAGGGAGGGAAGAGATAAGATGGATCTTATTTGTGTGGTGGGTGTGTGGATTGTGGTGATTGATTTTTATATTTTTAAAATAATAAAAAAAAAACTTGAAATTAGAGAATGCCAACATGGCACGATCAAAATTATGGGTCCATATTGGTGGAACGAGGAGTGGGGAGATCACCAACCGCCGAATTGGGGTTATCTTGAAGCTTCTAATAGTGGTTCTAGCCAAGGATCCGAGTGTGAAAAACTAATCCCTTTCTATGATCATCAAGAGTACTTTCCCAATTATCAAGCCTCGCCATCATACCAAGAAGAATTCCTTCCACAATCAGAGCCAAAAAGCCTATTGGAGCTTTTGGTGGACCGGTTTGCCCGGGACATCAAAGTAAGCTCTGATGTGGAATTCTCAATCACCATACATGTCGACTCATCCCTTTTAAAGACATCGGAGGAGATCCTCCGATAAACAAGAAGACTAGGAGAGGTTGTTGGGCAAGTATGTGCACAACTCGCTCACAATTGACCCTTACCCGGCAAAGAGGAGAAGAAAATGAGGTGGTCATAGGGACATCTTCCATCATAGGAAGGCCTATTCCTGCTTTTCAAAACTTCCTCAATGAGCAACGAGAATTGGACGAGAGGTTGGAAGCTAAGATGAGAGATCTTATACAAATTCATTCGAGACTCGCTCAATTGCGCCTCCACAATACTAACAATGAAGATGAAGAGGAGGCGGAAGAAGAGGAAGTGGTCTCCACGGTGGCCGAGCTAGAGGACAACGAAGATCCATTAATTGGAGAACTTGCTTGTAAACCATCATTTCTCCTAATCATCAAGAAGAAGAAACTAAAGAAGGGAGCATTGATGGGGTTGAGATGAAGGAGGAAGAAAGTAAAGAAGAGGAAGAGGTTGATACTCAACATTGGGAACACACTTCACAAGAAGGAGAGGAGTTTGAAGACGCAATTGGAGTCCAGCCAATGGACAAGGTCGAAGTGGATGAAACTTCTACAAGTTATGCGTACTACTCAAGCTTTCAGCCCAACCTTGATACACTCTTAGAGAGGGATCCTTTTGTGGGTTCTCTTTTCCAAGACGAGGCCACGACATCATTAATCCCTCTTGATGGAGCCGATGATGACCCTTCAAGAATGCTTGAATTGGTTCGAGGCAAAGAGAAACAAAGAAAATTTGAAGAGAGGTTTCATTGGAGGTGTCTCAAGCAACTACATCTACATGAGTCTTCACCGAATGATTGGGAGACTGACCAAGACTTGAGACTCCACTTGACGGATAAAAACCTCAACTTCAAGGAGGTCTTGAGCTGGACTGAGTACTTGAAGACAATGGTACAGTGAAACGACCTAAAAAACACGCTAGTTGGGAGGCACCCAACATCGGTTTGCATATCTTTCTTCTTTTTGCAACTCTTGTGTCTATATTAGATACTTAAAGTAGTTATTTAGATACTTATTAATTTGTTTTATCTTCAAATCAATAGTCCAATTCTAGGAATACTCATCTTTGCCCTCATTTAGTCTTAGTGTCCATTCCTCAAGCCCTAACCGATCAACTAGACAAATTTTGCTTTAGTATTTTCCTAGGCAAATCAAAGATTGCAGGCCTTGAGTAGTTCTTCGCAATCGTGATCTTCTCCTTCTTATCTTGCGAACTTCCTAGTGTCACTAAAGTTCGCGACCTATGGCTCAAAGATTGCGGTCAAGATCTTTTGCCCCTAGGTCGTGATCTTGTCTGTACATATAAAAGGACGATTGCGGTAGCTGCTCGGGCCAGAACCCATTTTCCTCCAATTTTCTCGATTTTTGTAACCTACAACTCGAGTTTCGAGGCAGGGAACTTGAAATTTCATCTCCCAACTCCTTTTTCTTCATTTCTTCATCATCTAGTTCGGGTTTTGAGCTTCTAATCATGTCTGCAAGTAGCTCAAGGTAAGTTTTCAACTCATTTCTTCTGTTTTACATCTTTTGGGCGTTTTACATCTTTTGGGCGCCGAATTAGAGGAAGGGAGAACTTGAGTTTTAGCTCCTATTTTGGGGAAATTGAGGTTGTTCTTTGGCTTGTTGGGTGAATGAGAATCAATGTATACTTGTTATGGATATGGACTGTGGATTCGGAGGCCTTGGTGGCAATATGCTTGTGATTGATTAGATAACACATTTCATTTCTTCCCTTAATTAATTACAAGATTTGTATAGAAGATTTCTCATTCCCTTAATTAATTAGATAACACCTTAATTAATTAGATAACACCTTTCCTTTCTTCCCTTAATTAATTACATTCATTATTAAGCAAGGTTGTCAACCCGCAGGTTGACCCGGACCCGGTCGATCTAGTGGGTCAAGGGTTAACGGGTCACCCATTTTAGCCCAGACATATAGAAAGAGTCATTATATTGTACTTATCCTGATAAATTATATCAAATCTCATCTAACATATGAGTAATAACATATAATATTACACCAAAGTAACATGTCGTACTTAGATCCAACATATAGTGAAAATTCACACACACTTATATAACATTAATATTCAAATGTTCAACTAAGGATTCCAAAGATTGAGTTAGGCGAAAACAAAATTCGGAAAATAGGCGCAATTTGCAAACCAAAGAAAAAATGCACAATTTAACCTCCAACCCGATTCCATGTAGCGGTCGACCCGGCAGGTGCGTACAACCCAGCTTTTTCATCGGGTCAGAGTCAAATTGGGTCGACTCGCGGGTTGACAACCTTGTTATTAAGCAATTAAACAAAATAAAAATGATAAGCGCTGATGGCGAGTACCCCATAAATGCATTTCCATAATTAGATTACATACATTAATTATATTCCATAAATGCCGAGTTCGACATTCCCTCCCCCATATATAGCGACCCCATTTTCGATCTCCTCCATAAATTTCGATGCTCGCCATTTTCGGCTTTGTGTTGGAGCTCGAAAATCGTCATTAATGGCGAGAACCCCATAAATGCAGGTTGCATTGGAGTCTGCCTAAGAGATTATATGTAAAAAAAGATCAGGGCGTTTTATTTGGGGAGCGCGGAGGCAGGAATGAAGGTGCACCTAATTGATTGGAGTACATTATGTCGTCCCAAAGAGGAAGGCGGGATGGGATTAAGAGATTCCACGAGGATGAATGAAGTGCTCATGGGGAAGATAGATTGGCGGTTGTTAGCAGAGCCACACAGTTTATGGAGAAGGGTAATCCATGCCAAATACTTAAGGAAGAGTAAGAAGGGTTGGAAACCACGCACACAGGACACATTTCAAATCTGTGGTGTGGCGTTCTCCGGGTTCTCCACTTAATCCCGGAAGCGATCATGTGGAACATCAAGAGCGGAAGACAGATGAAGTTTTGGACTGATCGTTGGATGCAAGATGGACCAGTGCTTGCAGATCTAGCGAGTGGTTTGCCTCATGAAACATGCTCCCTCACGATCGTCGAGATGGTGTTGAATCGTAACTGGAACTTAAATTATATCCAGGCTTTCTTGTAGAGGACGTTGTGCGGACTATAGTGTTGCATTCGCCCCCTTATGAGACCGATGAAGACGTGGCAGTTTGGAGGCTAATACCGAATGAGTAATTTTTGTTGAAGACCATGTATGAGCTGACGAATGATGATGATCACCCAGGAGGAAACCACCCCATGTGGCGAGCCATCTGGCGCACGCCAGAGACACAACGAGTTCACGACTTCTTTTGGTTAGTAGCCCATCGCCGGCTATTTACCAATGCTGAAAGACAGAGACGACACCTACCTCGGTGGATACTTGCGCAGTTTGTGGGGGAGCGAGAGAGACCACCATGCACGTCATCCGGGATTGCCCCTACGCTCGACCTACATGGGCTGAACTACCTCATGATGAACCGGATGAAGTGCTCTTTCAAGCTTACCTCCACAAGTGGATTCTACACTACCTGGCGGGAAGAAGTTCCACCATCTCGGCTACTAGATTTGTTGTCACGTGCTGGGGGCTGTGGAAGAATCGCAACGAGCATGTATATGAGGTGTGCCTCGCACCTATCCCAACACTTTGCATAAGTGTTATTGAGCTAGAAAAACATATACAGGAAGCGGTCGAGAAGTCAGCCTTAGTCTTTGAAAATACCAACAGGTACGACACCAGGCTTATTGTATGGACACCCCCTCCGCCAGGCTGGTACAGTTTGAACTCTGATGGCTCTGTCCTAGGGGAAATGCAACAGCTAGCGGAGTCATAAGGAGGGACAATGTCCGTATGCTTCAGGCGTTCGCCAGGAATTTAGGGGAAGGCTCAATCACTACGGCGGAATTGGCAGGAGTAGCTGCAAACCTCCAAATAGCTTGGGAGAGGGAAATCAGGCAGCTTGTTGTGCAGACGGACTCCCTTGCAGCCGTCCAACTTATCAGAACATCAGGGAATCATCATCCTCACTCAGTTTTGGTTTCGGAAATTCGAAGATTGCTCGATCTGGATTGGCAAGTGGAGTTGGTTCCCGTCTAGAGGGAAGGGAATGTAGTTGCGGATTACCTGGCCTCGTTGGGCCATGGTCTTCCCCCGGGAGTTTACCCTGATTTGGCTCCTTGTCCGATTTTAAGCTTCTGGTTGTACTATGATCTAATTGGGGTTACCAACCCTCATTTGGTTCGTAATGATTAGGTTGTGACACCCTTTAGCATCCGTTACACACCAAAAAAATCAGTGTTATTACATGAAGAAACAATAAACAACCGTTAGTTTAGAACACTTTCAAACCTTAAAAATAAGAAAAACAAAAAATTCAGGATCGGCGAACCGGTTCTCGAGGGAGGGAGTCTTTGTTCAACTCCCTGCAACTTACGCTGTGCACATCCCAACGAATCAACAATAACATGGCCATGAATGATTTTGCTTCCTTCCTTTGCATATCAACTTTTTTTAGGGGAAAGAGGAGAAGATTCGAACGGCAACGTTGACGTCAAGGAAGGAAAACTACTACTATTATTCAATTGTAGGTTCCCTGAGCAAAGCTTGCAAAAGAATCAACCTCGTCGTACCATTGTTCAATTGTTAAAGCGACCTATAAATTCCGGTTTGATTAACTGTTTAGAGTCTGGAATCTGGATTGGTATTTGATGATTGAGCTAACAAGCCTTTCAAAATGCACTTGCTTCCGCAGCGAAAGCCAGACATTACGCCATTATATACACAGCACAGCACAGCACAGCATTGATATTGCCAATTACAATGGATAGTAGCAAACTGCACAAAATCATGAGAACAGATGACACGGATCGCATATTATGTACAGGAGGTGGATCCGGCCACTGCAGCCAGAAAATTTGGTCTCTAAAAGATTTAGAGAGGTGGGACAAAAATTTTACAGCAGGCCTAGGTTACTCAGTAGTTTCTGCACCCACTGCATGTCATTCTGCAGCACATTCTCAGTTTCACCACTGGGAGTTGGAAATTTGCATCGACTCTCATCACTAGCTGAAGTTGACTTCTCTTCCACTCCATCATCATTTGGTTTCTCCTCTTCCTCGTCCTTCTCCTCGGGTAACGCTACTGGTTCTTCGACATAAACTTGTTCCTTGTCATACTCCAAAGCAATGGTTTTCTGATAAGGGGAAACGCATACGAAAGAGCTGTCATGTACTGTCAAGATAATTCTAAGGCGACACGCAGTAGCAGTTCCATCATTCTATTGTGTCCATAGAACATGGTGGATATGCCAAGCTAATTCTCGATGTTATCACTCAATTACATAGAAAAATCTCCGGCGAAATTTCAATGGTCAATAATGCCAATACATAACACTTCAAAATGGACACTTCAAAATGGACATAGAACACAAAGGATAATAGATAAAGCTTCAGAACATCACATTCTATCAGGAAGCAATTACCTCTTCTCCACTAGGATTCTCAACGTCATTGTTGTTAGCTCCGTCAACTGAGGCATCAAAGGCAATCGTAACACTTTGCTCACCCCCAGTTGCTTCTTCTTCACTCGGTGTCTCCAGAACTAGAGGTGATAAACCCGGTAAAGGAGCAGTCACTCCTTCTTGTTCAGGTTCCAATATTCCATCGCTACTACCAGTGGTTATTGTTAAGTTCATAACTGGTGGTGCTCTGTCATCACCATCAACATCTTCACCATTATCATAATCTTTCACCTTCTCCTCCTTGGGCAACAACTCTGTTATTCCTTCACCCTTGGCTTCTTCCTTGTCATATTCTGACCTAATGGATTTCTGATAATGCAAAAGAAAGTGTTGTCACACAGTTCTAGATAATGCTAAGGTAACACCATAAGAGTTCCAACTTCCATTATGCCCATGAAGTTTGTGGATATGGAAGTTGATTCTCGATGTTATTCAATAAATTGGTAAATCTCCCGTCCAAATTTCAATGGTCAACATGGTAGAAACTACTTTTAAGAAGAAAAGAAGGAAACAAACAGCGAACATAAACAAAGCTACAAGCTTTAGAACATCACATTCTACAGGGAACAGTTACCTCTTCTCCACTATGTTGAACTTCCTCAGATGACGCATCAACAGCAATTGCTATTCCCTCATCCTCCCTTGCTTCTTCTTCGGTTGGGGACTCCTGAACTGTAGATAATAAGCCCGGTACAAGAACAGCCAACCCAGCTTCTTCGGGTAACAATATTCCATCAACACACTCATCACCATCTTCAACATTATCATCGCTCAAAGGAAACACAGGGTCCACCTTTTGACCATCATTCATGCTTTCACCTGAAACTTGACCTTTTCCATTTTGAGTAATACTCTCCCCCCCTTGGTGGTGGTGAGTGATATTGTTATCTGCCATAACAGAAGCCATTGCCTTCTCTAGTTGGGTAGTAGCACAAACCTTAGCGGCTAAGAAAGATACCTCATGGGCAGAGACCAAAACAGGTTCACTCTCTCGAGGAGCCAAACTCTCTGTTGCAATCTGCAAAGTAGAGTCCGGAACAGGTGCTGTATCTTCTTCTTTGTCAGCTGCTGCCTCTTCTTCTGTAACACTTGCAGATGGTTCTTCCTCTTCCTTTACATAAGTAACTGTTTCAGTCTCCTGGAGAGCCAAAGTTCCAGCTTTAACAGGCAAGCCAGAGTCATCTACTACAGGGTTTGGTGTTTCTTCTTCGTCAGTAACGGGTTCTTCATTTACAGCAACACTCTGAGAAGTTTGTACTGCTTCTTCCTCCATGATCTTCTGAACTAGAGGATCTTCCCAATCTTCGAGAACAACTATGGTGCCCTGAGTTTCCCATGGCTCAAGAACTCGATCAGGGTCTGGCTGCCACAGTAACGAGCCATCTAGACCTTTGAGGATGAACTTGTACTTGATTGTCTTCCCAATTGGTATATCCTGCAGAAGAAACTCAACATCGTCAAACTATGCCCAAACGCAGAAAGAAATGGTGATGCTGAGGAAATTCACAAAGTAATTCAGCTTACTAGTTCCACAGCCCAAACATGTCCATCTGACCAGTCCAATGGCACACCATTTTCAGGTTCCCATAAACCCAACACTGACTCGTCCCCTACCAAGACAAATTGCTCACCAAACGAGCATTCCTTCTGTAATAGGAACTTCACACGAACGGAAGGAACATTCCTTTCCTCTGCAAGAAATTAGAGATACTGGTTCAACCATGGACGTAGAAATGCCTAAAGGAAACCCTAAAACGATCAAATAGACACGCCATTGAAAACTCTTTTTCCCCTCGTCTCGGAAAGAGCTCATTCACCTGTTTCTTGGATTTGGGCTTCAGAGTCCGAGTCTTCCAAGTCAACCTGCAACCAGATATTCAAAAAACAATAGGCAAGATTCTCAATACGTGGAGCCACTGTTGCCTAACGACAAATTCCCCGAGAAAATGGAGAAGGCGAGATCGATAGTTTAGAGATACGATGGTGACCTGGGCAGCCTCCTGCTGCGAGAGAGAAGCAGAAGCTGAAATAGCAGAAAGACTCCCGTGCAGCTTTGAGCTTATGGAATGCTTCAAGAAATCACCAGTAACCTTCTTTTTAGCAGGGAGAAAACAAGTGAGAGGGCATCTATCAAGATTAAACACCGTGGAGGAAGAAAACAAGCTTCTGGTTCCATTGCTGTGTAAAACAACGATGCTAGAGGAAGAAGCGACACCAATGGCTTCCATCAGATAGTCCGCGGAGGGGTGGCGGGGGGTGACGACGGACGGAGATGGAAAGAAGAAAGGAGGGAGGGAGGGAGTAAATTGGCTGATTCTGTTGGTTTGTTTGTCTTGTTGTGCAGGTGTTATCTGCTCCTGGTGGCTGCCATTTACAAGACTCGCGGTATATGAATGATCGATGAGTGAGGAGTTGAGACTTGAGAGAACAGTGGCCCGCTGGGGCCAGAGAATCCGCGCGGCAAGTAGGCACGTATCAGAAATCCTAACACTAATATAAAGACGTTCTCAATGAGAACATGCTTAATTCTAAATTTCGAGGCTTCTGAATAAATTTAGGAAGGATAATTATGTCCTTTGTTAATTATACGGATGGAAAACGAGCTTTTGTAGGCAATTATATTAAACCAATTATTATATTATAAATTTTAGTTAGGAATATGGTCTTGTGAAACTTGGGCGAGGGATGAGACCTAGGTATATAGGTATAATTTGTTCATATTATTTTATCTACAAAACACTATAAGGCAATGTCAATATAATTGATTTGCCACGTCAGCCCCTCCTGCATAACCCGCACACTACGGAGGGACCTTCCTGTAACTTCCTTAATCCTTCTTTCTCTCGCCTATCAAACCCTCCCGGAGATCCAACCGCACCGTCCTGATTAATCGCCGCATTCTCAATCATGCTTCCGAATCCCCAGCGCAGGCGCCGAAAGTCTCCTTCCAAACCTCCAGTGAACTATTATTCTCGATTGTGGAACCACCCTCGGAAGCCCCTTCCAAACCCCGCCGCCGAGCGGAGCAATTATCTTCTCTCGCACTATGCCTCTCAAAACCTGTCCCCGGAATCCCCTCCCAAATTCCGACCATCGAGCAAATAATCCTTCTCCTCTCGCGCTGTGCCTCCCAAAACCGTCCCTGTTTCCAGTCATCTGCTACCAAAGGTACGAAACATCCTAAATCCTTTTCAAATTTGTCATCTTTGCCCCCAGTTTTCGCAAAAGGAGACTGTCAGTTGCTAAATATTTCTCCAATTTATGTGCGATTCAGCCCATATTTACTCTATATAATTTTTCCCCTGCATGCACAAACGAACACACATAAACAAGATCCATCCTAAGGATCAAACTCATTCAAGCAAAATAGTGAAGAGAACTGTAAGGATAGGTAGATTAGAACGATTTCTGGGTGTGGTGGAAAGCTCACCTACCAACAGAGTTCATGCTATTGCATTGATGTATTTGTTCCCTGAGTCGATAGATAGAGAACAACATGCATGCATCAATTGAATTCAAATTTTGAGGGATTTCAGGAGGTCATCAGAGAGAAGCAATTTCATGGCTTCTTTGCTGATCTTTGGTAGCCAAATCAATTTTCCTCTACATCTCATGTAGAAACACGTTGGAGAATAGATGTATCCCCTGCATGACCCGCCTAGCCTGCTACGTAGAGATCCAATAGTCACCCTTTCTTCACCTTGGTATGTGTTTACTTCTAATTGCAGTGAAGGGACAAAGTAGAAAAGAATGTCCGCAATCACGAAATCGGAAGTTCACAAACCCATTACTCTGTTTTCCACCACATTAATCGAGATTCAAGGCGGGGTTGGAGAACACGCGGAAAATGTAAACCATTTCCGTTGCACTATAGTTGCCCACGCGTTGATGCGGAGATTGATGGAGATGAAGGCAAGTTCGAAACTGGGGTTGAGCATCTTTTAAATTTAAGTTACTTCTTTCAGGAGGGGAATCTGTTAGATCAATCATCAATCTGTTAACTTCTTTTTTTTTAATTAATTTGCCAGTAGCTACCAACATACTACTACACACTGTTGATAGAAAGAGAGCTGCAGCTGGGGTGGTTCCATTAGCTGAGTTTGCAATTGACATCAGCATGTCTACAATTTCGAACAGCCAAGATGATGGTGTTGGCAGGTGATTACAATGATGTAGCCAGTGTTTGGTTGTGGAAATTTAGAGATCATGAGTTGACTATTAGTTTCAAGGAAAACTAATCTATAAGAAAGAATGGTGTTGTTGTATACCTCAAACATATGTACGTGTTTGCTTAAACATTCTACGCAAACAGTTTACATGTTTTTCAAGTAAGCTTTGTTGGGCTGGATGTGTTTACTTGAATGTGACTTCGAAAACTTTTGAGTTTCTTTTATCGCCATTCCATGAGTTTATTTATTCATATCAACCCAATTTTCAATATTAAGATAACAATACGTGTCCATAGTGCATCAATTCTTCATTGTTAAAGAGTAAAAACATTTTCTTTCGTTAGCTTAACTGAAGGTAGTATGGCCTGCACTGGGCAACCATTTGAAGTGGATTACTCGCAATACTACTATGCATTCTTCCCCATTGTTTATCCATGCGACTATTGAGCCAATTGTACAGTTGCTTGAATCTGCATATTGGTTGGTGTATGTGATGAAATTCTTAAAGTAACACTCATGATAATTACCTTTCAACATAATGGATCTTATGACCAATGCATGCGAATGGAGTGGTCGAAGTTAAGAATTCAAATTTGCTTGAGTATTTTATACTTTACTGGCCAATATAATACAACGACATGCACCGATTTTGTACTTCACCGGCCAACGGGCCGGGCCCAATGCTAGTTCTATTGTAAGTTTAAGTGTTCGACACAAACTCTTATTGCGTGGGCTCAAGATAGGGTGCATAACCATGGGTTATGCACCCATCAATAACCAAATCTGGACCCTTCATTTAGAAAATCCAGATCTAAGGATGGAGAATTAAAGACTATTTTTATTTTCACTAGCTTTCTTAATTGACTCATATCTTTTTCGTTTTAACTCGGATTTTAATTTTTTTTGCACAGATGGAACGAGTTCACCGTGCTCTACAAAATGAGATCAATTTTCAATATTTTTTTAGGAAAAAAAATTCTGGCCTCTCGGTACCAACTGCATACCATATGGTATCTTCTTCGTTTTTAATTCGTTTTTGAAAACGTTTGCACAGCAGGGATGAGTTCATCATGATCTACTGGATCTACAAATTTCTTGGTGAACAAATTACAGGACCAAAAAATACCACACAATACCATACAATACCACCCTGGTACGGGGTGGTATTGTATGGTATCTTCTTCGTTTTTAATTCGTTTTTGAAAACGTTTGCACAGAAGGGACGAGTTCATCATGATCTATTGGATCTACAAATTTCTGGGTGAACAAATTACAGGACCAAAAAATAGCACACAATACCATACAATACCACCCTGGTACGGGGTGGTATTGTGTGGTATACAATGTTAAAAGTCGTAAATTACAATTAATATACTTCTACTATCATGTATTCAACCATCCTACAGTATTGGTTTGTTCATACCACCATGGTACGTTTTTCAAAACATAGGTATGCTTTTATTTCAATACCAGTCAATACCATATGGTATAGGCTGGTAAAAAATGGCTCAATTTTTTTTGTTCGAAAAATATATTAAAGTGGATATCATTTTGATGAGCACAATTAATCTGATCTAACTGTGCAAAAAAAATTAAATTTTGACTTAAAATGAGCGAGAAATCGTCCGTAAAAGATTAAAGATGGAAAAATTAAAGGCTTTCAATGAGAGAGAGGATGCTGATGTCATGCTGATGTGGACGTGTTACTCATGGTTACTCACCATAAGGTTACTCACCTGATCCATTCCCTATTGCGCGTCTTTTACTAATTAACTAATTTGACGTTTTGAAGTTTTTCATTATCTCGCTTTTTATTATAACTCGGATTATTTGTTGTCAATTAAAAGTTACAGATTGGATTAGGGTCAGACCAATTGGAGAAGTACTACATATAGTTCTCATACACGTATATGTTATTTTAATGAAACACGTAAATAAAATGTGGATCACACCAAATAAAATGGATGGAATTTGTCAGCATAACCTCCTTAAGTTACAGCGGGCACAAATCTCAAGAGCTATAGTTAAGGGTTTTTCAATTTCTTGCACACTGAACGGATTAATATCTCATTCATTTCAACTCTGATTTTAAAAAAAATTGAGCTAGAAAAACCATATTAATTGAAAATTTCCAACGAAAAGTTAAGAAGATTACGATGAGTAATATTATAAGAATTATACAACATCAAAGAGAATAGTAGTTAGGTAACAACTTATCTTTACTCTTTTATTGTTTTTAACTTCAAGTTCATTCATTTGAGAGGTAACAATGTACCTACTAAAACATAAATTTTTTTACAAATAGGTAATCTCAATTGTTGTTATTTTATAGATTCAGGATTAAATGTGAGTTGTAGATAATATTGTTTAATGTAACTTTATTGTTTTGTATCGTGAGGCAGCTTGATTTTTTGTAATGTTTACCGAAAAACTATTTAAAGATAGTGACAAAATAAGAGAACTTTCACCTCCTCATCTCATACAAACTAAGAGAATGAAGTCAAATTTTCATATCAACTCACCTATTACAACATCGCAAACTCTATAAGCGAATACCCAGTTTTGAAGATATGAAGGATGAAGAAGAGCAATCTCAGACAAAGTTCATGACATGTACCAAGTAAATTTAATTATTGAAAATGAATTTTTCACCATTCTAAACATTTTTCTTTTGAATTTTTGCATTCACTGAAATGGAGCAGAAGAAGGAAGATACTATTTCTTCGATATTGGGGATCGTCGAAATAAGCAAAAATACTATTTCTGCGGAAAATACCATTTGTCGGTATTTGAATCGAGATACCCAAAAGGGGCATTAGTTCTTTCTCTTTTTCTTGAATCGACTGGAAGGGGATGATGAATCGATTTGTTCGCCTTTTTGCCAATAAATAAGAATTCTCATAGAGAGTCTCAGGATATATGAGATGACAATGATCCGTACATATGACTCGATTTAGTTCTGAATAATCCGGAATCCTACTTTCTTTTTTACCCGAAAGATTTGAACTAAAGAATTTGCTTTTAACTTGCTCATTATTTACTGAAAGGCTCAAAATGGATTGTCTTTCGACAGAAAGAGAATGAACGTTTATTTGATCTTGATCCATGAGAACATGCTTAATTCTAAATTTCGAGGCTTCTGAATAAATTTAGGAAGGATAATTATGTCCTTTTAATTAATAAAAGTCCAAACACAATACCTTTGTTAATTATACGGATGGAAAACGAGCTTTTGTAGGCAATTATATTAAACCAATTAT